ACAGACAGACAGACAGACAGACAGACAGACAGACAGACAGACAGACAAATAGATAGATCTCTGCCAAATGAGAGCATTTTCAATTTGGGCAGATGAATAGTGCAAATCCAGATTGAAAATTTAGCCCTATAAAGAGTAATGCAAATTGATACTTAAATTGTCCGTTTTTTAAGGGAGAACAGGTGTATTATTAGAAAGAATAGATCTGGTGCCTCAGCACTAGACAGAGAGTCTCTGAAAGAAATTTTTATTTTATAAACCTAGCATGCAAATTCATTGTGGGGACCTGCTTCTGAACACTGAATACTAGGTCCTAATACAACCTGGTTGACACTGAGCTACTGAAGATAAAAATGCTTGCTAATAATCAGATGAATAAAAGCCCTGTAGCATGCACAGCAGTGCAATTGTATTAAATTGCAATGCCCTCTGGTGTGGGAAGTGAAAGGATGTCTCGCCTCCAACAGAAAGATATAAGCAGAAAAACCAAGGACTCTGCATATTGTTTGCTTTTGTGAGCATGACTGAATTTGCTACCTGGAGTTGGAGAAACAGTTTGCTTGCCCTTTGTGCTTGTTTCTAATGGAAGAAGTGTTTTGTAACAGCTGAGAGAATAAGTTGAAGATAGTGTGTGTGCTCAAAACAACTTAGCTTATTTATTTCTTGGACAAAACCCACTTACAACCAAAACACAGTCCTTAAATTTTGGGATAAGGGTTGACAGATAATACAACTACATAAAATAATGTTTCTATTGGCCTACCATTCCCTTTCTTAGAAGGACAGTCACCAATGAACGGCGATTGGTATTCTGCTAAAACATGGACCCTTTCTTCTATATAGTTGAAAAAATGATTAAAATATGTTAAGATTCTCTGTACAGACAGTGAATTCAGGTCTTCTTTGTAGAAGGTCATCCATTGTTCCTACTTCTGTGGATACCACCCAAAACCTACAGTATCTAAGGAAAATCACAGTCATCTGAAAATCAAAACTCCTCTTACATGTGGCACATGGCATCTTCAAACAGCACCAGGTTCATGGCAGCATTAACTTCATTGTGGTTCTCCAAAGCTTCCACAAGAATCTGGCTCAATGATTCCCAATTCTGGACAGGCATATATTTGGGTTCTCCTACCCCTTTTGCAAAATGACAGTAGATATTCATCTTCTTGGTTTGTTCCAAAGTTTCCTCTATGTCCTAAGGGGTAAAGGAAAACACAGTGTTCCAGTTTAGGAGAGATGCAGCAAACAAAAATGTCATCAAGCATAAGCCATTGCGGTCTCTCAACTCTAGAGAGAAGGATGGATAAAATGTAATACCTAGGATCTACCCATCACCAAAAACCTTCTTTGCAGACCACACATATCATATACTTCTCTTTTGCATTGTTATGTAATGATTGTTTGTCAGCCATAGAAAACATGTTTCAAAGAGTTATTTTATCTCAAATAGATAAAGAAGCAGAATGCTCCATAACATCCATAACATCCTGATAGAGAAGCAGGATGCCCCATAACACCCATTACAATTTAGAAAACATAAATGGTTTCTAATTTGTGCAATATTTCTTCTTTATGATGAGGAGGAACCTTATAAGCTTTGCTTTTTTTGCAACACACATATTAGTCATTTTGTTTTTGGTGAGTGATCGAACACTTACATCATAGAACTTCTTCACTGCCTCTGCTTGCAGTTTATCGAAAACAATTAAATCCTTGTCATCAACCATCTTGTCACGGTAAACACGATTGGATTCATGTAAATATAGCTTTACCAAATCCTGAGGAGTCTTCAAACATTCAGGAGTTGAAAACAGAATACCCTAAGGAAAAGAAATACAGATGATGATACAATCTGCTTTCTGGATGGATTAGCCATGCAACTACAACCAATCCATATGGTTGTCCCTGCTATTGCTGAGCAATGTCACTTCCAGTCTGCCATACCACTCTTGATTTCTGTGACATACATTAAACTGGCATCCATCCATTTTAAGCTGTCTCTGTACATGATAGCAGAATCCCTAAGCAAGCAAATATATAAGGCATCAGTACATGTACAAAAGTGGATATGACAAAAAATAATATACAAAGTTCCTAACCTTCACTTTCCTTACATAAATATTCAACCCAATTCTAAATTCATTGTCACAATGAGAATTGTCACTCCATATCGAAAAGATAAAATAAAAGTTCATCACATTATCATAGGTAATAAAACAAGACTAACCTAACATAAATGAATTGTACTGAGAGGTATCAAGTCAATGTGAAGTAATTTAAATGGTTATTCTTTTCTCAGATTTAAGGGTAAATTGCTTCACAGTGGCTGATTTTATATTTCAACTAACACTCAGGAACAAACTGCAAATAAAAACAAAATAATAATGGTATGGCAATAATATGTTTATACAAGGAGGAGAATAGCTTTTTATATTTAAAAAAAGCTTTCATTTTTTTTGAAAGAGAAGGAACTTATTTTAGGAAGTTCAGTTGCAACAGAGGTTGCAGCTCTAATATATATACACATTTCTGATTGAAGTGAAATTATTCAATAATAATTAGGCCCAGGATTCCCCAAATGGTTTAAAAGTAGATTACGTAGGCTTGTTGTTCGCTAAACTCCTTATCCTGCACTGATTTAAACTGCAGACTGAAAAAATGGAGGGTACATTATTGCCTCAGATTCAATCTCTCCCTAAATTAACCACATTACTGAAGTTCCTTATCATTTTGTAGGAAGAAAAAGAGTCAATATATTAGACTAAGTGGTGATAACTTAAAAAAATAAAATTTAACAAGGAGGATGCTGCCTAGAGCTTGCATTAATTACTCTCAGGTAACTGTGGCAAGTTTACAATGTGCCCTTTAGCATGCACAAGCAGGTGTCTCTTAAAAGGAAATAAAATGTAACTATCTATTAACAATAACTAGTGGTGTAATGACATGTACATATTTAAAACATGTTATTTCTTAATCCTAATTCAAAAATTCTAAAGGCAGCTTGAAGTCTGACTGTACATGAGCAAGCATTATTTCAACAAAAAGCATTTAAATGAATTAACCAAGTTTTAAGAGGTGCTATTAGGGTACTTTTTAAGTGGGAACATTTGGAATTACTAATCTTCTTTGGAGATGAAGCATATAAGAACACACTTTCTGATTTTTATTCTGTAGCAACTAATCATAGGAAATCTATGCACAACCCCATCATATAAATCCAAGAAAAGTACCATTTATGTGTTAAGAATAAAGCTGCCTTATTTAAGAGAACAGGCAAATCCAGTACTACAATTTCTAAAGCAAACGAAGCTTCAGTTTATATCCCAATCTCCCTAACCCAAGCAATGTTAGAATAATTTATGGTAACAATAAGGAGAAAGCACTCCAATTATGAGTAATGGCACTCTTATCTTCTTTATATCTTATGATCCAAGGTTCAGTCATTGAAACAGACCAAAAGCTCTGGAGATTTTGGGCTCATTACATTTTGAATCAGAAAGGTCAGGGCTAGCTTCTAACCTTCATAACTGATTCCTTTATCATTTAATTGATGCAGTGGAATGACATATTGATCAGAAAATACAAATGATTAAAATGGGCACACAGAATCTGTTAAAATTACCCACCAGAATTAAGCCAGATTCTCTATATTTTCATATCAAGTCTAGCACATACTCTTCAAATATATCCTCATTGGGATATATTTAATAAGATAGATAGAAGACATTAATTAATAACAAATAATATTACCCTAAATCCACATTAATAGCTAAGATTAAGAATCTTAGCTAGCTATGATAATAGTAAGGAAATACAACTACTTGAAAATAATGTAAATACCTCCTTTTGCCCATGTACTCAGCTATATGAATTGTAAGTATTCAACTTAAGGATCTTCCATTCTCAGGTATCCTGTATTTTAACTGTATCTATTAACAATACCTAATAACTGTTAGGGGTCCACTATCAATTTCACTAGTATTATTCCTTCCCACTGGTTGAAACTAAGATTGTCATATGCCTGTCATAATTATGGGGACAGAAGTGGATCTTGGGGAGAAAGATAAAAGCCAGAGAGTTATCTGTCTCAACAAAATCATATGGAATCAAATCATTTGACATGTTAGAGCTTAAATGCTGTAAGTGCTGATTTCCATTTGTTTCCGGTGATACATTTGAATCTAGTACTATTTAAGAGAATTAACACTTGACTGTAATTGTGTAGTGTGGTGGCCTAGAGGTGAAGATGCCCGCCTCCCACTTAGGGGGGGTGGAAGTTCAATCCGAGGTAGTAAATGCAGTAAATGCTCGGTTCTATTCAATCACCCCAACTGCATCTCAATAAAAGGCATTACAGCATGGGTGTCAAACTTGTGACATCACATTGTCATCATGTGACATATTGTGACTTTTCCCCCCCTTTGCTAAATCAGGGGTGGGCGTGGCCAGCACGCAACACATCCGGCCCGCGGGCTGCCAGTTTGACCATATTTTTCTGGTAGAAGAATGTTCTCTTGAAATATCTAAAAAGAAAAAAGAAAAAAAAACTTCTGACTGTAATTCACTCTATGCTTGACTTAGATTCACAAAATATTGCAGGGGAAGTCTTGTTATGGAGAAACTATTTGATCTCTATCTGCTTTAACTATCACACATAGGGCATGCTAATTTTGCCAGTCTGAACTTTAAAATCTGTTCTATAAGTTTTTTCCTGCCTCCTTACCAATCTGACCATCCAAAAGTCTATCCAGAAAATGGGAAAGTTTGTCCAGCTTCTCTTTAATGTCTAACAACTTCTTTAAAAAAATCACACAATCTCTACAAGTAATATACACTTTTTTGCCAACAAATCCAGGTGGAAATGCAAATTTAACACTGTTTGAGTTATCATTGTTTGTTAATTTTGTGCCTGTTTGAGTTTCCTTTGAAGTGGAATCGTTAATCAGAAGTTACCCATCCTTGCACACTCTCCCTGTTCAGTAGTTCAAATTGATCATCTAGTGAAAAAATGTCATCACTTATAGTTAAGCCTCCTTTCAGTGACAGCAGATCCTCTATTTTAAGTTGTTTAAGTGCTCTCCTTTGACTTGCATGCTTGAAACTTGTTCTTGATTTTTTTCTTCATTTTCCCCATTTCTAATTTTTAAGCTCAGCAATATACAACAGGAGTATAGCACATATAATACTAATAATAATAATAATAATAATAATAATAATAATAATAATAATAATA